AAGTGTCGGTCAATCTCAATATGTTTCGTCCTATCATGTTGCACTGGGTTATTTGCAATGTTGATGGCAGCCTTGTTGTCACAGTACAACCTGAGAGGACACTCGATMTTTATCCCAAGCTCACTAAGAAGGGTCCTAAGCCACAGAAGTTCAGCAACACCATGAGCCATAGCTCGACCCAATCTGAACAGAATTCCTTTTCCTGGGCAAGTCTTTAAGTACCTAAGAATCCTTTCCACTACTCTTATATGAGGGATCTTTGGAGAGTGCATGAACTGGTTGACAACATGTATAGCATAAGCAGTATCTGGTCGAGTGAGAGACAGATATATCAACTTCCCTACCAGCTTTTGGTATCTCTCTTTATCAAGGTAGTCCTCTCCTATTGATTCCTGTAGACCATGGTTCTGTTCTATTGGAGTATCTGCTGGCCTACACCCCATCATACCTGTCTCTTCTAGGAGGTCAAGGACATACTTCCGCTGACATATATAGATGCCCTCTTTTGACCTAGCAACTTCAATCCCAAGGAAGTATCTTAGATGGCCCAAGTCTTTGATCTCAAACTCAGAAGCCAATAACTCCTTTAATCTTTTTATCTCTTCCAGATCATCCCCAGTAATCATCATATCATCCACATAGACAATGAGTGCTGTAAGTTTGCTATTTTGTTTCCTTATGAACAAGGTATGATCTGCCCCACTTTGAGTGTACCCCACTTTCTTCATGGCCCCACAAAGCTTYTCAAACCAAGCCCGAGGAGACTGCTTAAGACCATATAATGCTTTCCTCAGTTTACACACTTTCCTATCAAAAACATAACCTGGTGGAGGATCCATGAATACCTCTTCATGTAGATTGCCATTTAGGAAAGCATTCTTCACATCTAGCTGATGCAACTCCCATGAGAAGTTTGCAGCTAATGACAATAAAACCCGGATTGTGTTGAGCTTCACTACTGGAGCAAAGGTTTCTTTGTAGTCAATCCCTTCCTTTTGAGTAAACCACTTTGCCACAAGTCTGGCCTTGTACCTTTCAATGGACCCGTCCTCCCTATGCTTTACAGTGAACACCCACTTGCATCCGACAGTGCTCTTCCCTTCTGGTAGATCCACTAATTCCCAAGTCCTTGCTTTCATTAAGGCTTTCATTTCTTCATTCATAGCCTCTTTTCATCTTGGGTCAGACACTACCTCTGAGTACCTAGTAGGGACATGCACGGAGGAGAGAGTAGACACAAAGGAATAATAACGAGGAGATCAACGTGAGTAAGAAACAAATTCAGCAATGGGGTGTCGGATAGTACAAGAACGGGGTAGACTTACGAAGAGCAATAGGGAGATCCAAATCAGAAGTATGTATGATAAGATTACCTAGAGTTGCTGAGTCAGGTTGATCCGAGTCCGATTGGTTGCTGCCATGAGCTAGAGGGCCCTTTTTCCTTCTGTTGTAGGTGATTCTTATATCTTTTTGTTGCCTACTGGAGTCCTCAGTAACATCTGCAGCATCAAGAGTGGTAACAGGCACAATGGGAGCCTCACTAGGTTCACCCGGGATGCTACAACTAGGAGGACCAGGAGGAGAAAATGGAAGGCCCGAGGCAGAAAGAGGCACAAAAAAGGAGGGGGAAGAAGAATCCTCTTCCATACCACTAGTCTCCCCCTGAAGAGGATTCTGGAAAGAAAGAAAATAGGATTGAGACTCAAAAAATACCACATCTTTTGTGACATATTTCTTCTTGGTGATGGGATCATAACACTTGTAACCCTTCTGTATAGGAGAGTACCCTAGAAAGATTCCTTTCGTAGCCCTAGGATCCAGCTTGGTCTTCTCTGGATCCTTTACATGTATAAAACATACACAACCAACTCTAGGTGGAAGAGGAAAGTCTGGAAGATTATGACAAAGGACAGAGAAAGGAGTTTTCATACCCAACACCTTGGATGGCATCCGATTTATTAGATATGATGCGGTAAGGACTGCTTGAGACCAATAGGGCTTGGGAACCTTGTGCTGAAATAGTAAAGCTTGAGCGGTCTCCAATAGGTGTCTATTCTTGCGCTCAGCAACCCCATTCTGATGAGGGGTACTAGCACAAGATGACTGATGTAGCATGCCAGCATCCTCCATGAACAGGTTCAAGGATCTTTCAAAATATTCAGCAGCATTGTCTAACCGGAATTGCTTAATCTTCTTGTCAAATTGTGTTTCAATCATTTTACAAAATGCCATGGTTATCCGTGGCACTTCATCGCGTCCTCTTAACAAGTAGATCCATGTGCATCGTGAGTAGTGATCAATAAAATTGATAAAGTAACAAAAGCCATCAACAGAAACAAGAGGTGAAGGGCCCCAAACATCAGAACGAACCAAATCAAAAGGAACTTGAATTTCATTACTAGAAATTGGATAAACAGTTCTACATTATTTTGACAACAGACACACTTCACAAACTAAACTTTGACTTGAAATACCCTTGAATAATTCAGGAAACAACCCTTCTGTTTTGGAATGGTAAAATACTGATTTGTTACATTCTATTGCCAATGGGCATATTTATACAGTAAGCTGCTGCAATAAATAGAAAGAAARRAAAATAGAAAGAAGAAAAAATAGAAAGAAGAGAAAATAGAAAGTACAAAAATAGAAAGAAAGAAATAGAAAGAAAAAACTTTCTAAATCAATCCTTCCACAATCCTAGGAATATATACAATT